TCCCGTCCGTCCCATCCATCAATCTACGGTGTTGCATGAATCCCCCCCCGCCCCCGTGTGGCGCGATGTAAAAAATCCACCTCTGCCCCGTCAGACCTGGCTTGGAGAATTCGTTGGCCTCTGTCTGTTTCGGGGGGGGGGGTTGGGGGTGGGAGGGTAGGTAGGAGGGTAAGGGGGCAGGGGGGGGGTAAGAGGGAGGGGACGGGAAAAGGGGTACGCCCGGGAGGCGGCCGCGGCGTGATGCTAGGGCCGAAGCTTATTTTATGGGGGACGGGTTATATTGCGTGGTGGGAGTTGTGCTGGGTCGGGGTTGCGGTGCGGTGCGGTGGGGGATCCAGATGGTCATCATGGCGAGGACCTGGCCTTGTCGGTCCTGTTGGCGTAAGTGTTGCGAGGGCGGGTTGGGTTCTGGGTTCGATTCTTAGGGGGCCCTGGCGGGGGGTTATTTACTGTACTGTGTGTGCGTTGCGTTTTGATGCTGCATTGCATGGCATTGCGTTGTGCTGCTGCATTCTGCATGTGTGGATGTGTGTAGGGTCCGTTACGGGTCCTCCACTCTGGGGGAGGAGTGGATGGAGATGGAGGCAAGATAAGGTATCAGGTGGAATTTTGCATAGATGGATGTATTCTAGGCGGAGGTTAAAATAATAAGACACTACCCGTGGTTGGTAGGTGTATGGCATAAGATGGCGTGATGGTGAGTGGTCATGGCAGGGATTTAGGGAGGTGATGGTGGTAAAGATGAGGAGATGGTGACGGTTTGAGTGAAACTACACCCACACGGAGCTATTTCTTTTGCTGTCCGTGGATGTATTTTTTGTATTCTTCCTGGTTTCTGTTGAGGGGAAAGGGGTTGCTTGTTTATTTGTTTAGCGGGGTGGAGTGGTTTCGGTCGGTGACAAGCATTGTTTACTTAACCCCTTATTGAGTTGAAGTGAAAGTTTTCATTCACCAGAATAGCCGTTGCTAAAGATCAATCTGTTTCTTTGTGAGAATTTGGCTCGTAATGAAAAGACTGGCTTACATTGGAACAGAACAGCTTCAAGTAAAATGGCAGTGGTACACTGTAGAAACGGAATCCGACATCGTAGACTTCGGAGTCCCTGTCCTTTTGCATCTTTTTTTTTAGATGACAACGTATCGTTCCAATGGCCGAGGTCAAAAGCGTGGCTAAATTCTTTTACCAAAGTTTGCCTATGGCCGAGCGAACAAGCAAACAAAAAGTTAGGAAGCTTTAGATCGTCGGGTCGCCGAAGTTGATCACCTGCGTGGCTTCGGTCCCCGGAGGTCGGCGACGCCCACTCAGCCAGCCCGGTGGCCAGCGGCGGTTGGATTGTTTGCTTCCCGGCCCAAAGGTTCGGACTCGGGCTTTGTTTGACCTGGAAGTGGATTTGACTTGAGCTCGGGACCCTCCCACATACAGGACCCTCAATATGTACCCGTCTCTCCCGCCCACGAAGATCACTACCCCAGGCGATCCGGTCTTTGGTGTCCATCGGCAAAAGTTACATGTACATCCATAGAGACACACCCTACTACATCCAAGCTATGTCGTCTGCTGCAGGTGTGCGAAAGTCGCGGCCCGGTGCCATGGCAAACACTCAACGCCAAGCGATGCGCGATGCAAGCCCCGGAAGAATTCATGCGCGGGGTGGCTCCCTGGGATATTGTGATGCTGTTTGTAATTAGTGAGGCTTGGTTATATGCCGAGAAAGTCAAGAAAGTGGTGGTGGTGTTCGGTAGACTGTGTAAGTTGGGATGGGCCGAGTAATTGAAGAAGGGGGGGCTCATGGACTCGTTGCCTATTTGGAACGGGATTCCAAAGGCGGACTTTGGAAATGGAGGAAACGGGGTTGGGTTTTGGAAAGTTGCGACAACCATATCGTAGCAAAATAATTACCGGGCTCACTGAATTTCAATCAAGTGTTGGCGCTGGTGGTTGCGACGGAGGGAGACCCAGGGCCAGACGGTGGTCATGAGTTGCGGATTTGGAATGGCCTCACCGATGAGAGCAACAAGCAGGAGCTCGCAGAGACTATATGTAATAGATCCGCGTTCCTTCCTTCCATCGAACTTGGCAGGGGCGCTGCAGCTGTAATGGCCCAGCGGTGACTGCGCGAGCAGGTTGGAATTCCTACACAGTTTCTTTCTCAGTAGCACGCTATTGAAAGGTCTCTGGTTCGAACCAGCCTGGGGCACGGAGCCGTTGTTTATACAACACCCCTCGATGCACCCTCTATTGACATACATGTAAAGAGAGGGTGTGTTGCTAACCATATAAGGAACGCTATAGTAAAATCCCCTCGAGGGTTTTCGTAGCCAGCTACCGAGGTAGCTGGTGAGCTTTTTGTCATTTACTCCCCGTCATTCTTTTGTTATTGCGAGAGAGCAGACGCTTCCGTCCTATGTTTCCCTCTTCCCGACAAGCTTGTTATCACGCCACACCGAGTAATCTATCATCATCATTCTAGAAAGCGCGAGAGAAGGGAGATGATAAACAAGAATAAGAGAGCGCGGATAGAGAACAACAATCCGACTCAACCACCCCGGCTCTTCTTCCTTACCATTATAAATTCTGCCAACACCAAGGCACACACAGGAGTTGAGGAAGCCATGAACCAAACAAATCTGTTTTCTCTAAATGACCACTCGACCCCACCCATCGCCAAACTCGACTCCAAAACAATCTCATTAACCTAACATTCACGCTCGCTTGATTGCTTGCTTGCCACCCGTCATGTTCACCATAAAAGCCCATCGACTCCCATCCCACCCCATCCCATCCCATCCGACCAGCCAGCCAGCCAGCCGCCACACATCCACGACCCCTTCTCTCTCTAACTCCCCAAATAAGCCCTGATCGCACCCTGCAGCCTTCCCGCACCCTCGCCCACCAGCTGGGACAAGTTCTCCAAGTCATCAGCAGCAGTGATGCCAAAGCGGCGAACAAAGTCCTTGGCGGCCGTCTCGAGGTCGCCGTAGTCTTCGCCGCCGCCGCCACCGCCCATGCCGCCCATTCCGCGCTCGTCGTCCTCGTTGCGGCCAAAGTAGGCGTTGCTGGAGATGGCCTGGGCGCCCTCGAACCCCTGCAGGCGCGACTTGGCTTCGGCCTGGGCGCCCGACTCGAACATGCCCTTGCCGAAGAACTCGTCCGACGAGATGGCCTTTTGCGTGCCGAACTTCTTGCGCGCGTAGTTTTCGCCGTCGTCTGTTGGGAGTTGTTAGTAAAGGGGTAAGGTGAAGGTGTGTGTTTTGAGGCATGGGGGAGGGAGGCTTACCGTCAGGAGAGGCCTTGATAGGGCCGACTGAGCCAAATCCACCAGCAGCAGCGCCCTTCTTCGCGGCGGCGGCACCAGCTGGCTTTCCGCCGACCTGCCCGAACCCTAGCCGTTTCATGCCCATACCGAGGCGCTCGACCTCGCTAGCTGACTTCTCCCGTGAGTGTGAGTAGCCGCCGCGCGCGGGGCTGACGGGGGTGGGCGAGACGATGGCCGACTCAGACTTGCCGGCCGCCTTGGACGTAGTAGTTGTCTCCTCGTCGGCGTCGGGGTCGTACCCGAGCTTCTCGATGCGCTCGGCCTCTTCCTTGGCCTTCTTCTCGGCTTCGTCGAAGTCGATCATGACGTCGCCGCCGAGCTTCTTAGCGCCGAGCTTCGAGGTTACCTTCTTGGCACCGAGGATGTTGGCCTTGCGCGGGCCTGTCGCGCTCGACCTAATCGCGGCCGACGTGGTAATGCGGCTGGAAGCGGGCTTCGCCTCGGACTCGGCACCCTTGGCAAGCGGTGACGGGGAGCGCGCCGTGTCCTTGCCGTTCTGCGTGTTCAGGAAGGGGGATGGGGTGCGCCCGACGACCGGGGGTGTGCCGGTGCGCGAGATGGGCGGGCTCAGCTTCTTAACCGCGGGCCTGCTCCACGAGGAGAAAAAGTCGTCTTCATCTTCCACAGGGGTGTCTCCACCCTCGGTACCCTCGACGTTGTCGGTGATGACCACCTCCTCGGGGTATCTGTAATTTGCCGTTGTCAGCGGGTGTGGGATGGCAGTGGCAGCAAAGCAAATGATGCGCATACTCTTTGGCATCCCTGGCGGCCCTCTTCTTAAGCTCCTCCTTGTACTTGGTCGCCGCGGCTGACGTGTACTTTGTCTTGGGGTCCTTGCTGTTCAGCGCGGCCGAGCCGCCGTTGGACTGGAAGAACTTGGTGGCCGACTCATTGCCGCCGACCTTCATAACACGCAGCTGGTCCCATTGCCATTCTGCTGAGTGTTAGCTCGCGACCCCCATGTGTGGTCCGCGCAGAATGGGAGGGACGTACGATCGAGGTTGGTAGAGCGAACAAAGGAGATGTGGACGCCGAGGTTGCGATGGTTGGCGGAGCAATCGAGGCACAGGTAGATGCCCAGGGGAACCGAGGTCCAGGTCGGGTTTTTCTGGCCGCAGTCAAAGCAGACCTAGCCAACATCTGTTAATATTGTGCTCTCGTACTCGCAGCTACATGGGGTACCGGGAGGGAAAGGGGGGTTGTTGTTTCTCTTACCTTGTTCGCTGACTTAGACTTCAACTTCTCAAAGATCTTGAGCGACTGCTGCTTGGATGCAAGGCCGCTCATCTTGGCGGCGTTTATCCGTTCCTGAAGAAGGCCGGGTGCGGATGAGCCGTGGCGGTCAGTGGGCAGGGAGAGAGTGTTGCGAGAGGTGAAGTTGCGATCGTGAACTCGGCCGTTTCAGGAGAAGGTGCCACATTTTGGATGCCCAGGAACCCATCCCTGTGGCATCAAAATGCGACACCAATCCCGATCCAGTCTAGCCTGCTGGCCTCTGAGCCTTGTTGCCCCACGCCAAATCCAAAACCCGAACTCAAACTCCCCACCCGAGAAATTGCCGGCCGGCACCCCTCGGTCGCGTGCATTGGATTGTAGCCAAGCTCCGCCGAAGCTCTCCTTCCTTCTCAACAGCCCGCCACAAACAAACAAGACAAATAAACCACCCTCTTCCCAACAAACGCCGGCTTACCAGAAGCCGCCAGCGATGGGCACCACCAAGCCACCAAGATGAATCGAGTCACGATCTCGGGTCTACGGCTCCGACCTCCCCACACCACCCACACCAACCACGCAACAACCAACACCACCTACCTCCCCCTCCAACAACCCCTCCGACGAGTCCCCCACCAACCGTCCGCCCACGCCGCCGGCCACCGCCGATATGCCACGCGCCCCGGATCGGCAGCGCCCGAACCCCCGCGCCGCCGCGCCGTGACGCCCTTCAACGACAACGGCAACGTGCCGTGGGCCGAGCTGTCGGTCGGGGAGAAGACGGGACGGGCGGCGCAGCAGACGTTTAATTTTGGGATGGTGGTTGTGGGGGTGGTGTTGACGGTACGTTGGTTGGGCTCTTTTTTTTTTCTTCTCTCTTTCTGGGAGGTGGGGGCGGGACTGGGTGGGTGGATTGGGGGATGGGGTGGTGTTCGGTTGGGGGGTGGACGGTGGTTGATTGAACGATTGATGGGCTGACGCTGACACATGGGGACACACAGGGCGGCGTGGGCTACGTGCTGTACTCGGAGGTGTTCTCGCCCGACAGCAAGACGACGTACTTCAACCGGGCGGTCGACCGCATCCGCAAAGACCCGCGGTGTCTGGAGCTGCTAGGGGACGGCAAGAAGATTACGGCGTTTGGCGAGGAGACGCACAACAAGTGGCGCCGGGCCAGGCCGCTCGCGTAGGTTCTTTCTCGGTCAATCTCAATCAATTGGCGGGTGGAGGGCTAACGAGCGGGTTTATTTAGCTCGACTGTCACTAAAGATGGGCAGGGGAATGAGCATCTGATGATTCAGTTCAATGTAGGCGATACCCCCTAGTAGTTTTCAAGTTGTCCGAGAGAGACGACTGACAGCTGGATTAGGTCCAAGGGCCGAAAGGCGCAGGCCGAGTCAACATGCACCTCATCAAGCGTGCTGGCCAGGGCGAATACGAGTACAAGTACTTTTTCCTAGACATCCGGGGTCATCAAAGGATATACCTCGAGAATGCCGACACTTCGCGTGCGAAGGATGGAGAGAGCAAGGGGTTCAAGATGTTCGGTGTTAAGTGGGCTTGATACCGTATCGGGCCCGTCTGTGATTACCAGACGATGTACACTATGAGCTGCAAGCCGGAAAGCGTTCTTTGTACGTTGAGATTGACGATATGTCAAACGCAAGGGCCCCGAGGGGTATTACCACACCAACGAAAAGCTAATGTACAAAAGAATGATGCTACAATCTGAATCTCGGACCCCGTCCTGGGGTGACTGGGCGGTGCGGGACCCTCTCGGAAGGCCGACAAGAACCAAACCAGACAGCCAGACCCCCTATAGCCTATAGTGTGCAGAAGAGAAAAAGAAGATTAGCAAACTCGCTCAAACGACCCCTCGCCCCCCCCCCCCCCTTCCTTTTTTAACAACACCAAAACAGACCACTCCTCTAGTTCCCCTCGTCGCCCTCCATCTTGGCGATCCACTTGTTCATCTGCCCGAACTTATCCTCAAACGATTTCTGCAGCTTCTCGCACGCTGCCCACATTGGGTCCTGCTCGCGCCAGTACGTGTAACAATTGGTGAAGATCTGGTTCATGTCGGCGAGGAACTCGGTCTCATCGGCATACTGCCGCCCATCCATCTTGGCCTTCATCGTCATCAGGTCCATCGGGTTCTTGACTACCGTCAAGTAGTCAGGCACGCCATCGCGCTCCGGGTCGACGGGGTCTTTGAAGGGGCCTACTACGCGCGTCCAGAAGCCTGGTAGGGGTGGGCTTGTCAGCTTTGTTTCTTCCTACAGATTAAAGAGATGCGTGGGAGGAAAATACGAAAGAGGGAAAGGATCACCTGGCCCGGAAAGCATCCGCGAGAGGAGGTCGGCGCAAAAATTGAGCTTTTGGTTGGCGGAAAACGGTTGGGCTCCGTTGACAGCTCCGCTAGCTCTGCGTTTGGATCCCGGTTTTGGCCCCGGTTTGATTGCCGGTAACAACGGCCTCGGTCCCGGCTTTCGGACAGTAGCTTGGGCAGCGGTGACCGTGGAGGTTCCGTTAAGTCCGGCATCCGACGCACGGCGCTTCTTCGACGGCCGCCCTTCGGCGGCCTCGTTCAGCTCATGCGGTGCCGAACTTCGCTGGGCACCAGAAGCCGCAATCGCGTCAATTGGAATCGGCGGCAAGTCCAAGGAGCTCATGGCCACCACCAGCTCGCTCAACACCTCCTGAGGGAGGGACCGGGCGAACTCGGCACGGGACTCACTGGATCTCATATACTCGGCGGCCCACGAGAGGAGGAGTTTGCGGATCGAGGATCCCTCGGGGGTGTCCTTCCAAACCTGTACCAGGAGTGGAGTGGCGGGGATGTGCTCCGTCACACGACGGCACTCGGTCATGGCGTCGAGTGTGGCATCGCAGAGCCCTTCGATGCCCAGCTCGTTCCCCAGCTTCCAGACGCCGATGAGCACCTCGTAGGTTGGTAGGTTGTCGAGACTAGGGAAGACCTGTCCAGTGTAGAGGAAATTTTGGGCGTAGGCAAAGACTTCGACGGGAGTATCAGGCAACCTGACGAGGTTCTCGAGGCCGTCGGGGGTCTCGTCGAAATATTTCTTGTAAAAGGTGGACTTGGAACACAAAAAATCCTTTTGAATACCGAAAGGTGTCTCCTCTGGGCCGATCAGAGCAATAACGAAAAGTGGGTGTGGCTGGCTGGATTGTTGTGAGCTTTTGATCCGGACATGGTGCTTTGGTGACTTACAGCCAAGAGAAGGGTTGAGGCTCCACAGGGGTCGCGGTTTCTTCTACAGCAACGCCAGCATTGCTTGCATTGCTAGCGCTGCCAGCGTCAATTACGCCGTTTGCTGGAGGTACCGCCTCATCGGACATGTTGGCTGGGGTAGTGTTAGCTCAAGAATACCAGGAAGTGTAAACATAATCCAGCTTAATTGAGTGGAAGTCAGGAGATGGAAGAATGTTGGGTTTGCAAACTCGGAGCATCATTTCCATCCCGATAGCTCACCCTATTGGAACTGCTCATCAAATCACATGAGAGAATAACATGACAAGCATACCAATTTTTTTTAGATGGATGAACGGAGGGATAATGATGGCAGCAGACAAGTTTTGGATGATGTTCAGCGTCGTCGACGAAGGCTCATGCCCGGGACACAGCCCTTGCGTTGGGTCACGGTAAAGTGAAGGGAATAGTTGCGAAGGCCGCTCCTACGCGTTGGAAATGAAGGCCAAGCGGCCAGAAAAGGGGTAGCAGTGAATCAATTGACGATATATCTGTGACCTCACGGCCTGTTGTGAATGACCGAGCGCAGAATGTGTGAGCTCTGGACATGGCCCGAGATTGGCGAATGGGAAGTCAGGTTGTGGCGTCTGGAGAAATGCCCCACCACAAGCACTGTGCGAAAGGCCTCACCACAGTCCTATCTAACCAGCTTACGAAGGCATTTTTGGCCGTAGCACAGTGTGTGTGTTGATGCATTATTCGCGATTATTATCATTGATCCTTTCACATCACCAGGCCAGAAACCTGAGCGAAAAGACCCGAGGGGAAACCTGAACCGAGAAACATGTCAGAACACACTCAGACAAAAGTATTGGGATTAGTTCAAATCTAGAAAGGGAGCCAAGTCTGTATGTACATAACTACACTCAAAAGCACTTGGCTGTCGGGGCTTCCGAGGTGACGTTTACCAATGGGGCTGTGTAAGAAATCAGCCCTCCCTTCCCCAAGAAGGAGCATTTGAGGCATCCAATGCGGGGAGAGAGGGATGAGGTTTTAAGTAAGTACCTAGCTTTGCTTCTTGACATACCATGAAGACGATGATTATCCATTTGAGTCCTTCATAAAAGCACACGGTCATCTCATCTTCCAATCACTCAACAGCTCGTCGTGCACACATCCTTTACCACCAACTGACGGTTCAAGAAATTACTTGTTGATCTATTAGATGGGCTGTGCTGATTCGAGACCGGAGTCGGCCTCCAAACGAAGCGCCCAACCACTACTCTTTACCTTCAGAGACGACGACAACGACGACGTATATTCCCTGCCGCTGACGATGGGCCAACAGCCTCCTCCGAGTGCCAGTGGCACTGTTCGCCTAGCCTCGCAGCATGAGCGTCTACTTCTCGAACTGCTTCCCTTCCAGGATATCCGCCAGTTCCACGAGTAAGTGCGCTCCCTACAAGGTGTTGCAACATACAACAAAGCACAAAAGAAAAAGAACCTAACCAACAACCGCCCCCCAGCTGGCTCAACGGCGTCTATGTCCGCGGCTCCTGGAACGAGTTCGTGCGGGACTTCCACGCCGCCCACCCGCTGGCCCCGGAGCCCGACAAGACCGCGGCGGTGCAAAAGGCCCGCGACGCCATCCACGCGCGCGGTGCGCAGTACCTGATGCACAACCCGGACAAGGACGCGTGGACGGCCGAGGACCACCACGTGCGCTTCCTCGTCGCCGTCGTCTCCGACAACATGCTCAACGGCCTGTGGTCCGACCGCGACTGGAAGAAGAACGGCCTGGCGGTCTGCGGCGCCGTATTCGAGGTGCTCGTGTTTCTGAAGGCTACGGCGACGGCTTCTGAAGATTGTGCGGACCCCGCTGCGGCGGATCCGCCGCGGTATGAGGCTTAGGTGGTTGTGCTTGGGGGGGATGTGGCGATGAACAGCCCAGTGTGGGTGAACATTGAGCCGCCCAAAGATACACGGCCCTTGGGCGAGACTTGATTGTAGGAGTGGTACACTTGTGGGAGGGACATCATCTGTCATTAGGATAGATTGGGGAGTCGAGAAGTTGAAGTTGTGACATTCGTTTGTTCTAGGATATCCCATGGCATATTCAAGAGTTAGTCCCAGCGTAACATACACACCGCTCACAAAGCTGCGTCCTGTAGTGATGTTCCTCGAGGAGGCATACAACTTGGCCCGATGCTCACTTGCTTGCCTAGCCTGTTATGACCAGCCCCTTCATTTGAGCTGCAGAGCCATTGTCCTCTTTTTTCTAAGCACCGTGAGGCAAAAAACATATGAGAGTTGTTTTGTGGCGCCGGTTGGCAGTCGTTACCCTGCTATTGTTCCTCTTTAAGCAACATGAACGTAATGGGCTCTCCGGCTAGGCTCTGTAGTTAGACGAGGGGTGTTTCCCTAGCATGATCGAACCGTAACAAGCCGAAGCTTCTCGAATGTATCGTAAGTATCGGCTGTACGGGTGACAACGCTCGAGTTCCCTCTCCAAATCGTGACTTGTCCTCGAAGTCACTTCGAAACGAGGGTATCGAAGCCCAGAATCCGCCCTCGAGGCGAGATTCCAAATCCCGGGACCACTCATCGGCCAGATTCGATAGAGTCTCCGTTCCGTCCCGGGTTGTGGTCCTTCATACGTATGTCTGTGTGTTGCCCCGATTCAACCGCAGATCCCATCTATATCAGACGAGATAAACACCTCTGAGTGGAAGAACGACAGACGAGTGGGAAAATTCACATCCCAAAACCCAGTTCCCAAGACGCACAACAGCAGGCGAAGCTAGGCGAGGGGGGGAAGTGGTGGTGATACAGAAGAGGGGGACGGGAGCTTCCCCTCTCTCTTCCTCGCGCAAGAAAACGAACTAGACAACAAAGACAGCGTTTCGAGAACCCCATCGAATCTACACCCCCTGGCCAGCTGAAGGGTTATATCGATCCTGCAGCCAGCCAGATCGGAAAGCCAGCCCCTGTCAAAGGCACTCAACGGCCAAAGTGTCGCCTCCCGCCTCTCTGCACGAAATGCACGCATAAACATCTTGCAGAATGAGCCGCTCTCGGTGTGGAAAGCCCAGACCGTGGTGGCCGGCCAAGGATATATCCCGTGCCGAAAGCTCAAGGGGGAGACAGGGAGGTAGGCTAGGCGCCAGAGATAGCTCGGATGGTATGTGGTAGTAGCTACGGGGCATCGTTATCTAGAGACGGGGCGGGATGATGCCGGCATCGTAACAAACGAACCAGATCTGTCAACTCCAGCCCGGAGGCGAGCCCACCCCGAAGGCCAGCCCGCTTCCGACACCACCATCACCGTCCCCCGTCCCCCCGACGGTGGCCAAGAGCCGATGTGAGTATGGACCCTCAAAAACGGCAGGCGGTGGGCTGTATTGGTGGTGGTGGTGGTGGTGGTGGTGGTGGTGGTGGTGGTGGTGGTGGTGGTAGTAGTCGTCGTGATGGTGGTGAGAAGGCAAGGCACGGGGCGGAAGCGACGCGTCGGGACGGACACTCCCACCCTCCGTCAGCACTCAAAGCAGACACACCTCCCGCTGGTCGGCATCCTTCCCTTTCCCGCGCAGTTGTGCACTGTTCTCGACGAAATCAGATCGAATCAATCCTCCCGTGCAACCACATTTTGATGTAGTCGGCCAACGGAGCCAAGCAAAAGCTGCGAGAGACAAAAACGCTTTCGGCCCGAGATCCCAGGGCTGGGCGGGGGGCTCATTCTAAGCCAGCCATCACCCCCCGGTCTCGTCCCCAACCTTCCACGGCATATGTACCGATATCCACCATTATTTGGATATCATGATTGCGCCTGTATATCCCCGCCCCCCGGCCCACGAGGGCTAAAAAGGAAAACGCCATATCGTGAGAGAAACAAGCTGAACATATCGACTAGGACCAGGATGGCGGCCGAGTGTGTAAAAGGGACGGGCTGGTCCGCGTCTTTCGAATTGGAGCCGCTCACCGGTGTATGCAGCTGGTCTAAAAGGGAACCGTAGCCGCGTCTCGCCTATGCGGGCGGATATGGGCTTGAGACGAGGAGGGATAGGGACGCGGTACCAGAGACCAATCCGCGGCCTTGGCGGCCATACGAAACCGTGGCCTTGGGCGTTTGTTGGAAGTTGTTCAGATTGACAACCCCTCCGCCACCGACCACCCTTGCTCCCTCGCGCTTGGGGACGCATGTTATAGAGGACCGAATGACACGACGGCAGCTGAATATGCCGGGGGCTCCGCGGCAGAAAAAGACCGAACACTTGTTTAGGCTCGACGCCGGCATCGCCACCGGGGCTATCATAGGCTCGGTAGCCGATCTGGAGTGGACGATATGGTGTGAGAAAAGGCTCAGTTATTCCACACTATCTCTCCCGACACCTTTTTGGGACGGACCAGCAGCCACTTTCTGCAAGATCATATTGCAAACATGCATTGTAGATTGACCCGCGGGAGAGGGACCAACGGAGCAGGCAGCGGCCTTAACAATAACACGGCGAACAGAGCTTGTCGATAAACTGACATCTCCGTCGGGCCCGATAGCCCTACCCCCTTGCTTTCCCCTGGACGAGAGCTCTCGACCACCAGAAGCGAATGGCCGCCAAGCAGGGGAAATATCTTGCCTTGCGGAGAAAAGTCCAAGAAGAGCTAGGCACATCCGCATTGCGTCGCTTCTGCAGATTTCTCCGAGTGGCAGGTGGAAGAGTGAAGGATGGGGCTTGAGCTTGCGCTGCTCCGCGAGTTGACGAGCCTTCTGACGGGGGATTCTCGCGGAGGAACCCCTGGCGCTCTGCTCGGACTTACCGGGAAAGGACCCGACAGAACCAGATCTGTTGAATCGGAGGCTGCGTTTGTCCTCCCCCATTTTTCTTCACTTGCACGTTTGAGGAAGTTCCAGAACCAAACATAGGCCGACGACGGTAACCCCAATCATCTACTATGAGCTGACGTCACAAGGGTGGGTAAACAAAGATGGAGGATGAATACATACAACCGTGTTTGGGTCGGAGACTCAGATAAGGATTGCAACAGAAGGCAGTTAATTTATCGATCAGCGATAGCGTGCGTCCCGGCTCTCCGGTTGCTGCGTTTTATCCGCAGGTCCAGCCAATTCAGCTTGCAAAGGCCGGGTTAGAGAGCTCTTGGCATAGCTCTTTTTTTCCTGTCCCTGATCGCTCGTCAGTCCAATTGTCTGTGATAACGGAGACTATCATGGTAAAACTGTGCCCGCGGGAAGAGCTGTGTCGAGTGGCAACCGAATCGCCATGAATGCAAGCGTGAAGACGGGAACGAAAAAAGATTTGATCGAGCGTTGCCCGCCAACCTTTTAAAGCGGAACGGTTGTCGTGTATCTAGATAATGCCGCCGGCGATGTCCGCGGAGAAATGAGACCGGCGGTTCTGGGGCGACCAGGTATTCCAAGTTTGGGACTGCAGAGAGCACAATATGCCCATGTTTTCGTCTCCCCCTTCTCGAATGATTTTCTCTTGTCTGTGAAACGACCAGAGACTAGGGAGCTGGGTAAGCACTCCATGCGTTCAGTGGTTGCCCAAAAAGTGTGAAATCCCGGATCCAAGAGATGCAAGCAGCCCCAGCTCCCGGAATTGCCAGACTCGAACGATGGCTTGTTCAGGGAGTGTGATGATGTTGATTGCGAATGAAGCGCTTCTTTGCGGCCAGACAGCCGCATGCCGTGATGTTTGAACACATTTGTTAAATCGGTTTCTCGGCGTTGCTCATGATAGCTGCCACGTATTATAGCCTGAACCGTTGTTCCTGGGACGGCAGTGCTAATCTAGGCCGCAGGCGTGTAAATCAGGGAGTGCGGTTCCCGGTGCAATCGCGATCAGCAATCAACATCGAACCTTGACGGCCGCGATATCCCAACCCTGGGCCCATATGTCGAGATAGCTGGCTGGGCGGCTCGATGACACTGGCAGGGTTATTTCTCCCTTGGTAAGCTTCAGCGCACTGAAGGGAACTCAGTGGCATTGCCTGGATGTAAGCAAAGTAGACCACTGCTGGAACCGCAAAGGTCAGAAGAATTCGAGCACAAAGAGCGGTCAAGCTGGGGAGGAACGCAATGTCCAATCTATTTGGTCCGAGATAATACAGTGCTTGGACACCATCTTTTCCGTTTAGTCCGAGATGGCGTTATCTTCAGTGAGAGTCGAGCCATTGATGATGCGGTGAGCGATGTCGATGAGTCAGGCCTCCCGGTGTGTCAATCACAGTAGAGCGATGAGTTTGCTCGGCTCGGGACGAGCCCAAGAGAAGGGTGTGGTGCTCGGCCCTAGCAACGGCAAGGCTGAGGGCGCCCTGGGAGGGTGACCAGTGCGTTGAACAGAGTGCCATCGATGGTGCAGGGACGTGAGATGAGATGCCGCTTCCTGCGAGGTGATGCCGCGGAAGCCGGAAGCCGGTGCTCGGTTCCGTCTTCCGGGGAGCGTCAAGAAGCAGCCCACAGGGCGAGAGTGGATTGTTGGTAAGGTCGGTAACGTGGAAACGTGGGCAGCGCAGGCATTGGCTTCCGCTCAGTCGATTTTATGGCTCTGTTCTCTTTTTAGAATCGCCCCATGGGTCACGCGGGCCATGACCGAGATGCCCAGGCTTCTAGGGTTCTCTAGTCGCTGGGCGCAGACTTGGTTGACGGGTCATCCTCATCGACGACGATGTTTCCGTGTCAAGAACACTGCAGACGGCGGAAAAGCGATGGAACTTCGAAGAATGCGATTCTGACCAGGTTGCGCCTTTGTACGCTGGGGACCAAGGAAGCAACAACCTTGGTCGAGCCACCGAGCGTCCAATCGTGACATGCATAGAAGGATCGGGCCTGCCTTGCTTGAAACACCGGGTTCGCATTTGCAACCACTCGGAACAACATCACATCCATACCATCCAATACAGGTACATACACAGTAGGTTCGGCGCCTTTCAGTTCTTATCAAAGACCATATCTTGCGATTATGCTGGGGGGGGGGGGGGTTGGTGGAAGGGTCTTGGACACACTCTGTAGTTTTTCGGGAGGTTTCCTTCCGGCGGGTCTTTTGCGAAACTCGCCTCGAGATTCTCGAACTTGTTGGTTTTGGATGTTGATGTTGTGGGGATGACCTACCCCTGACGGTTGCTGCTAGGGTTCGCTTTAAGCTTCCCCACGGGGCGTGGGGGGTGCCGACCCCGCAGCTGCGCCTCGCGGGGCACCGAGCCCCAGAGTCCTTCAGAATTTGTTGATGGCGCAATCAGCCGTCAAGGTCACCACTGCACCACAGCTTATCGCCTCGCTGCTGCTTCCCTTCACCTATCACCCGCCCTCACCGATTATGGCCAGAATCCCAAGAATAGCATCGCCCAATCACAGCTAAGAAAAGCCTTAAAATCACCCGGATAACAATAATCTGCAAGTCTGGGAAATGACGGGATGCTGGGCAGCGCTAGGGGAAAGTATCTCTTTGTCCGTACCAAGCTCCTCGGTGTCATCGTTTCTTGTGGCACTGATGTTTTGAGCATGTCCGCCGCAGCCCGGAGCATACCCACCGATCATTTTCAGACATTGTTCTTCGGGCGCACAATCGCGCCGCCGATCAGAAGAGCCCGCCCTCGCTTGCAGTACCACTCGGTTCTTATCCAGGTTCTCAGCGTTGCACCAGCACTGACCAGGTCGGTCTCGAGTCTTCTTCCTCGCGCTTTGAAAGAGCGCGTTATCTAACTACCCCACACTTCAAACAACCTGCGCAAGTTATGATCAAGGTGGGAGGGACGGCCATGAAGATCTCCGTCTCATCAAAAGCCTCCCACCTCGCAGTCCTGCGTGAGCGGGCCTCCGAGAGCTTGGTAGCTCGGATAAGCGATTGCGGGGATCGGTTGCGCCATTCATGGGTCCTCGAGAGACAGGGGCATTTTCTGGGGAACCGTCGAATCCTCCATGCCGTTCAGGCCGTCAAACACGTTGCCTTGTGTCTGGGGCCCAGCTCTTTCGGAAGCACCTAGACCGCCCTGCTAGACGCAGCATCTCTGGGCTCCCGAGACGCGTTTGAGGTCAAAAAGGTGGGATGAAACCAATCAGCAAGCCAAACCGGGTGTTACGAACGCCTCGTATATGCGATCTATCTGGGAGGAATGGGGAGGCCACCCATGAGATGGATGTGCAGCTGCCGGGCCACCCGAATCACGGCTTCTCAGAGATCAGCAGCACCCGAGAGACATCGCATTGGCCGCGAGCCCTCGCCGGACTCCTCGAGGAGATCGATGACATGCCAACCCGTCGATTGCATCACCGTCGCGATGAGCCAAGGCATCCCACCTCTTTTGTCCAACCAGAGCCCAGGATGCCGTGCCCGCGTTTGTATCATTTTCGTCACCCGAAGTTGCGGTGAGGGCCGTGTCTGCCCAGCCTCAGGACAAATCGAATGGTGCGTCCTATCCACGGCTCTGACACCATGAGCAATTCTGCGCGCGCGAAAAAGCCGTGTTGTCCCGGCGCCTTGACCTTCGCCGCGCGAGAGGCGGCTACCTGCCGCTCTTGTTTGGTTGTGCTGGAAACTTTCTTCCGGGACGCCGACACCGACCGAGCTCCGAGTATCCGAGTCCGCTCAGGACAGCTGATCAGTTCGTTCGGACACGCCAAGGTTGGGGGTCTCTGGATCAGTGAACAAGTGAGTGCGCTGATATCTGAGAACCCTGGTCTTTTATGATCACCAGCCTGAAAATCAGCTCAAATCAGCGACGCCAAAGGGCAGTTTCGGGGGTCTTGGAACGGCGCTATTGTCGATCTCGCGTCCCAAGCGGCGCGCCGGCGCCGTGACCCCAGACTTTCCGCTCGCCTGTCCACCCCCCACGATTTAACAAACCAGGGGTCTAATTGGTTTGCCTACCGGAAGATTTTCCTGGGGTGCCGGGGTAGACGACGTAAAAAAAGGGGGAATGGTGTTTGTTCCACGGAACAGACGAGGTCAACCGCTGACGTGATCCCAAAGCACAATTCTCCCCACATCATTCCGCCGCACTCGCCAAGGCACCCTTCGACGGCTCTCAACCATCCCCAGGTTGCGGGCACGTTGCCAGACATTTTGTGTGCCATTCTGGGCGTTTCTTAACAAGCCTTGTCTGTGCCACGCGATTCGTCAGGATACCTATTGGGGGGAAGGCTGAGCCCACAGGCAACCAGAAACGTATCGCCTCAGCATTGGCAGTGACGAGAAAGGAAAAGAAAACATGCATCTTCGGTGAGGGACGAAGGAGGGGGGCGGGGATACATTTTCCAACAGTCACAGATTCTCATGACAGAGTGGGCGGGCCCTCCACTCTTGCCCAAATCGTGACACCTGGCGTAATTTGGCCTCGCTGGCTTTAGGTAATAACCAGTTGACACCATCCACGCCATCTCTGGCGCCGCAGGCGTGTTTCGCAAAGGCAGCCAGCAGCCCACCCCTCGCCGAGAGCCCAGCCAAGCCCGCCCAGCTTCTTTGCCTTGCGCGCACCACACACACCCATACACACACATGTGTCTGTGTCTGTAATCCCGTAGACCGCCTCCCCCAAGTTACGAGTGCGGCGGGCGGGCTTGCAGCGGGACGGGAACGCGCGCTCCCAAAGATTCAGCCCAGCGTCGTACGCGTAAAACCCGGGGCCCGGCAATACCGTTCACGTAAGGCCAGCGTCGCATCCCCGCACCCCGCCGCACGGCGAGTCCGCATGCGCACACAACAACACGGCCCACGGCACCACCACACAGGGACAACTTGCACAGGATTGGGACCTCTCAACCACGACGGCAAGGCTTGACAGGTCCGAGCAAGTCATGGAGGGGGTCCTTCCCACCAGCAGCGCCAGCCGGAAAAAAACCCGAGCCTCCCCCCTCCCCCGGACCCCCCCTGAACCACCCTGGACGTCCCAGAAAACAAATGCCACTCCCCACACCCACTGGGATCCTTAACTCAGCAACGATGGACAAATGAGGAAATGCCCCCAACGAAACAGGAAAGTGGGCGTGGTCAGACAAAAAGGAACAGGAAGAAGAAAAAAAAAAGAAAGTCAGAGAAAAAGGCAGAATAAAGAAAAACAAATCAAAAAAAGAACCGCCCGCGTGCGTGTGTGCGTGGCGGCGTAGCATGGAGGCAGACAGGCACATGCCACCCACGCAAGGCAAGGCAAGGCAAGGCAAGGCAAGGCCAAGCAAAGCATCGCAAAAGCAAGATAACGAACTCTTGAGGCACGCGGGACAAGGCAAGGCAGGGCAACCACGCAGCTGCACCGGCAAACGGTCCGCGGGAACTCGCTTGTTCGCTCGTTCGTGCCCCAGAACCAAAAACCCACGCCGCGTGTTGGGCTGGGGCCATGGGCGGGGGGCGCAAAACCCACCGCCCCCCCGTTGAGACCCTGTGCTGCTCTTCCCCGCGGCCCAGCCCTAATGAGGCAGCTCTGCTGAAACGTGGAGAAATAAGGTGGCCTGGGGGGAGGGAAGAAAAAAAGAAAAAGGGGGAGGGGTGTGTGGTGAAAGCCGGAGACGATGAGCGGCCAGGAGCGGCACACGTTGCTCGTCGACTTGTCACCAGTGCTGGAGAAAAGCAAAAGAGCAGCAGGTTGCGGATGTTCACAATTTGGTTCGGGAGGCGGCGGTTTGTTGCTTGAATACCTGATGACTTCTGTTGTTGTCTCCCAGTGAAGGGTGGTGGGAATTACCAAGTAACTAGCCAAAAATACACATGAGACTGCCAAAAATCCAATTCTCCTCGCTGTCCTGTGCCTGGTGACCTCCCAAACCATCTATCGACTTGCTTTTCCAACCATAAGAGAAAAAAAGAGAAAGTTTGATGTGTTGCTGCAGCATTCTCAAGCCCAACCAAAAAACCTGCCGTCCAAAATCCGCCGGTTGAGAACACAAAGGAAAAACAATGTTGTCTTTTTCATTGCTCCACATTGGAGGAAGTAGGAAGCCAAGTCTATCCGCCCAAAAAGAAAAGTGGTGAAGTGGTGATGTCTATCCTGCCCAAGCCCAAGAAACCCGCACCCGCTTTGCCGTGTAAATCCACTATTTCCAAACCAATATTAAACAAGAGTCGAGTGCCATTTGCAACCAGAAAACCCCCAAAAAAGTAGGCCAACAAAGAAAGAGCCAAACGCCCAAGTGGTTGTATATCCTCTATAGATTTGCCCGGAGTTGTCGTCATCAGTCATATCGTCGGAGGCTGCCGATTGTTCGCGAGTCGAAGGCGGACGCCACGGGTGCTCCTCTTCGCCGCCATTACAACCTCTCGTACAGCTCGACGCCCGAAATGCTGTTCGACGACGAACTCCTGCCGCTCGTGGAGAATCCATCGGCGGGGCTCAGCAGGTCATGGACGGCCACTTTGGGCACAGGCAGTTTCCGCTGGGCGCCGTCGGGCCGGCTCATGATGTCGGTCAGCGACATGCCGTTACTCCTGGGCGTGGGCAGCAGAGGCGGGGTAAGGCCCTCGGGCGCCGGCTCTAAGGGGGCTAGCGCGGGGGTGTGGTGCAGGCTCAGGTTGCGGAACGGGGGCAGCTCAACACCGCTGTAGGGCCTGAGGCGGGGCGAATGGGCAGGCGTGGCGAGTGGGGTGTGGTCCGGTGTCGGAGACAGGGAGTTGTGAGAAAACGTGGGGGACGAGGGAGCCGTCGAGTTGGGAGAATTGGGCCTCGACCGCTTCGACTGTCTGTACGCGTGCGCGTAGTGGTCATCGTGTTCGTCGTGCGAGTGCGGGCGCGACATGTGGTAAGCACCGAGGCCAGGCAGCGGGTTCCGCGCCGAGTGCAAGACGCCGCCGTAATACGGGTGCTGTCTTGAGGGCGGGTAGTGGTGCTGACCGGGGGCGTTGTCTCGCTCAAGCTGACCCGCGGCCCTGGCCAGCATGGCCATGTCCGGACCGCTCTGACTGCTCAAGACACCACGGCTGTAGGGGCTCAAGGTCGGCGGCGTGGGAAGGTTCATGCTGTAGGAGCTATAGTGGGGAGGCGACACGTTTGGCGATGACAAGGCCGTGGGCGGGGCGGAACGGATCATCTTGGGCCCAGGAGGCGGCGCCATCATATCGGGCTGCATCCTATGGATCATAGATGCGTGTTGATGGTGTCCGCTCTTATTCCCCCTCCGCGAGTTGAGGTTGTTGTGTATCCTCGAGTGCCGGGTGAGCTCGTCTGACCGCGAAAACCGCTTACTGCAGCCAGGGAAGTGGCAGGCGTGCGGCTTCTCTCCAGTGTGGGTGCGGATGTGCCGGGTTTGGTGCTCCAGCCGGTGGAAGGCCTTGTCGCACATGGTGCATTTGTAGGGGCGCGGGAGCTCTGTGGTCTGCTCAGCGGGCGCTGCACCCACCGGAAGGGGTCCATTGGGACGGATAAGGCCAACGGCCGCCATCTCGGCTTCAGTTTGCTGCTGTATTTGTACTTGCTGCTGCTGCTGCTGCTGCTGCTGCTGCTGCTGCTGCTGCAAAATCTGGTCCCTCTCCGCCGAAACCTCTGGGTTCAGCAGGCTGGAGAAGTCCACGGCAGACTTTGCTCGTTGCATATGTCCACCCTCCCAAGCGGAGTTTCTCAACACCCAAATTTCCCTTGTCCTATCCTAGCACTCTTATGGTCAAGCTGCACACGCGAAGTACGCAGCCGGCGGAAGCGATATGCCAACGTCGATGGTCAATCGTCAGGCAAGTCGTCGTTCCTTGGTGAAGAGAGGTGGTGATGCGGGTGCAGTGTGCGAGTTGTCCGGGTATTGGGAAAATAGAATGCTGTTCCTTTTGTTGTATATTACTGTCGTTGTGTTGTCGTGGTGTTGTCTGGGGTCTGGGGTGCTGACGTCGGGGAAGCTCAAAGTGGCATGGGGAAGTAACAGAAAGTTGGCGGGTTTGTTTGGGGGAAGCGGCACTGGTTTTAAATGGCGCGCGGGCTGGCATTGGGGGGTGTGTTGGCATGTGGCGTGGGAACAGCAGGGGCTTGGGGGTGTGGGTTCGGGATACGCAGCGACTCAGTGAGGGGGGGCCCGGCAGGGAAGGAGCGCCTGAATGCCAGGGGGAGTCTCGGGGAAAAAGAAAGAAATAGTGGACCGCCGGTACCTGGCTCCAGAGGTACCCTACATTACCCCGGTTACGATACACGATACATACAATACCTCGCTGGTCGCCTGGAAACTTCCGTTCTGCAGCCTGCGTCCGTACCCTCCATCAGATAAATTTGGCCGGTGTGCAACTGCATTGCTGGGACGGCAGCGGCAGGCTGGGTGACTGATGTAGGTCTTTATTGCAGTCTGTCATGCAGCCCTGGTGGTGTGAAGACCTCCCTACCCAGAGTGCCAGAAGTCATTGTAATTGTGCAGGGCAGGGCAGGATGGGGCGGGTGGGGTGAAGGACACGGGAACCTGGAATCGGCCAGATGGGAAGTTTGTGACTGTGCCGATCCAGGTCACCTCAGCCTTTTTGTTGCCCGAATTTGCAGAGGGGCAGCAGGCTCGACAGACTGCCCGACGAAAACGTGCGACAAAGCGACATGGACCTACCTACCGCCTAGGCACGGCGATCTATCAACAGCACCTCACCACTTGCCCGAGCAGGCTTGGCTTGTCTTGGGTGTGTTTACACCAGGCTGTTGTCAAGCGCCCTTGCCGTGGACATCTGGTTCGCAGCCGAGAAGGTTCTCGCGCATGAGACAGCACATTCAGATCGTGCAGCTGGGCTCCGCGCGGGGCACGCGTCTTATTGTCACTCTCCATACGGATCGCTCCCGCGCCGAGTTGTTGCTGGCCGACCTACGCGCTGGCAGTATTTTTTTTTTTGTTTCTGGGGCATGAGGCTGTCGATCGCCAAGTGAGAAATCGACGTTTCGTGCCGTTTTTGTCTTTGGCCAGACCTTGGAGGGTGACGTTAACCGTTGCCTTCCCAGAACTGCTCTGCACAATCCGGGGCGGTGTGGACGGTGGCTGAGCTGGAGTACAAATGGTTGGGCTCGGATGCGTCTTGGCTTCGGTTTCTTTGACCTGTCTGATTTCCTTTTTGGACGCCTTCGCAGCCGAGATGGCCTGACCGTATAGCGGAGATAACGAGCACGGTGGTGGTACGACACCTCCGTGATAAGATGGGTGGCGGCCGATGAACCCGGGGAGGAACGCGCGCTAGGAAACAACTAGAAAGACTGCATATCTGGGGATGCAGAGTCTGGACGGGGAAATCCCCAGGTTCAAAAACCCACAAGCCGCGGTGGCCGAGAAACTGACCCGGGAGACCACGGCCAAGAAGTTGATGATGTCTGGATTCCTGGGCTTTCCTCGGCCGAATCCACTCTGTTACATGTGGTGTTTGCATTTGACCCGTTCATGCAAACCTCGGATGATGGAGCTGGTCGAGCTAGGGTCGGTTGCGGACAACGGATAGGGCCTCGTCTCCCGACTTTTCCCTCTTCCGATATCAATGAAGGGCCATGAAAGGAGTGAGAGGTGGCCCAAACCAATTTCAGGTGTGGCGCGAGAATGACGGGAGATAAGGGCCGACGACACAATCTGTGGAGTGTGGGGAAGATCCAGATTACAGGTTAGCCCTCTTTGCCTCTGGGGGGTCGATAACCATCCCTGCCTCCGGATAGTGAGTATCATGGAGGGACGACTGGAGCGAGTGTAAATTTACGCGTCTTGCAGCGCACAATCCACATTGCGTTGGTTACGTGTTTCGGGTAGGTATTCGATCACGGGCCGGGCACACATTGTGCTACACTTCTTAGTTCGGGCTGGGACAGCCATCGGCCGGGTTTCCTCCAACTCGGACGTCACTCCGAACCCCCAAAATCCGGGGTATCGAATCTTGGCCGCTGCATGTTGGGGATCCAGAGATAAGCGCGCCGCATCGACGTCGGCTCGCTGCCCTCGGGATGCAGCCGGAACACGAGTGCTGATGAAGCTTGCCGAGGGTCCGTCAAACTTCTCAGAGGCGGGTTTTGTGATTACCGCGTAGGACCGTGGTGTCCGTGTGCCTGACATGGCAGTTGGACTTTTGACGATGGATGGGGTGTGTGACATCGCTTAACCCCGTTTCCATACGACTTTTCGTGGGGGTTTCGGGGTTGCACCCAAGGCTTGACTTATCACCGTATCAGCGCCGTCAGATGCATCACGCCTTTCGTCGACCTCTTGGAACTCGGAAGCCGACCGGCGCAAAACGAAAGCTTTCAAATCTTACACGGGTGTTCAAACACCATCTATCCACCTATCCACCTATCCATCCATCCGGAGTGGCATTTACCGGTTGGTTTGTCTCAGTAGCTCCGAGACGGAATTCGGAGTTGTGGAGTGCCGTCAAGCCTTTCAGACCTATCCCATACAGGGAATTGCACGCAGCCCCACGACGGCATTTCTGGTTTTCATGCCTTGGCAACCTGGCGCCTGGGAACCCGGCGAGTTTATGGACCAGCAAGGTGCACGATGCCTTCATTGCGATTGAAGTTTTCTCTCTTCTCCACGGGGTGAATTCGAGACGCTGGAACCGGGCCGAAGAGCCAACGCTCGTACCCTGCAAAAGCTTGCTTGCCGCGGGGCCGGCTGACTCAGAAACAAGCGCCAGAGGGTTTCGCTTCCCCATGTTATCGTGCCGTCTGATAGCGGTCCAGGCTCTCAGATCCGGGGAACCGAAGGAAGAACGACCCCAAGCCATGGTTTCCAACACGTGGGGGGGCCAAGCCAATCGTTTCCGGATGAAAATACCAATGCAATCAGCACCAAGCACAACACAAACCTTGGCTCTGCCGCAATGGCAGTCGGAATTTTTTCATCCTTTCAGTCTCTCACCGAGCTTGGCCGAAGCGCGAGGTGACAAAAGCCCACTGCGATAGCTTGCGAGTCATTTCTCCGCAAGCTCGAGACCACGGTAAGTGCCGCGGCCCACAGAAGGACCGAGGATCCGCCAGAAAAAAAAAGCGAGGTATAAGGAAAAAGAGACGAGTGGCATACGTGTCATCGATCATGCTCAAAACCCCCAATACCTGGGGATCGTGTCAAAACTGATGCTCTTTCAGCTCGAATATGCAGTCTTGTTGCCCCGCCCTCGTCTCAGGCGTCCTCAGTTCCTGACTGGGCGGCTGCACGGAGATCGATCGCCCGCCTCAAAAACCGCAATTATCCGGCGGCTCCGCAGCCTGCGGATTTCCCCTGCCTGTGCTCGCCGTAGCGCCGCGTTCTGAACCCGGTGCAGCTCGGTTCTGGGCAAAGTGACAGCCAAGGAGAATTTGAGGCAATCTGTGGGGACCCAAGGCTTGCCCAGCAGAAAAAAAGACAGCGTCGCACGCCCAAGCGGCCAAACCATTGTCCTGGGGCGCGCTTTTCTTGCGCAGGTGGGCGGTCCAGCGGTTAACTCCCTAGCTAGGGCAGAAAGAGAGAGAGAAAAAACCGGCTTGGGCGTCGGGGACGCCGAGAATTTCCGATGAATTGGCGGATCGATTCGGATAAATCTCTGACAGGTCCGCTTCTGGCAAACTTTTCGTCGTTGTTGGAGGCGGATGGGTGAGTGGCAAGCCTGCGACCGGAGAAAGGTCGAGAACAACGCCCTGAGTGGCCCCCCACGTCCCCAGTCAGATCAGCCCCAGCTTTTCGCGGCTCGATCCCGAGATTGACATGCGCCGGCGAACCAGCAACAGCCCCTGCGATCACATGGGCGGAGGCCAAATGCGGAGTGGATGAGCACTGAACAAGGCGACATGACGAAAGCGAAAAATGGATACTTCATACCGTTTTCCGACGGAGATGGGATTTTAATCTCCGCGCCGACCCCGTGGTGTCGATGCCGGCTGTTGGTGTCTGGGGGCCCGAGGAGGCTCACCAACTGCCAAGCCCGCGGTGCCGAGACCGCGGCGAGGATGGGCCTTGTAAGAAACGGTCGAAACTTTTATCCTCCTCGGTCCTTTCCGTTCGATGGGTTTGATGACGAAAAACTTCGAGTCGCCGCGCCGGGAGTTCGTCCGTATCAGCAACACGTATGGTATGTACGAATATCATCAGCCTTTGATTGTTCCCCATACCCCGGTGGCGCTTAGGCGGAAGGGGGTTTGCCCTCGGCAAAGTCAGGGGCCGTAGATCCTGGAGTCCGGCATGCTACCAAACCCGCCGGCACCCCTTTGTTTTGCTCCCATTTTAACCATTTTAGGACAGTTTGAGAAAATCTTTCCATGTGAACGCCATCAACCTACCCATTCCAGACATCCTGGGGTTTGTGGGGGGGTCCGTCTGGGGTAAGGGGACGAGGGTCGTAACACAGGATGATGCTGGGGGAGACTCCGGGACGAGTGACGGGGCTGGTGATATCTTCACAAAGGGCCCGCTGGCGATAAATTGCAACATACGACGATCGTAAGACTCACGTGGGTTCTTTTGATGAGTATCGTAATTTTCGTTGAGTGCGGGTTTTGCGGTGAGAATGTGTGTGTGCCCCAGGATCAATTCGGCTGAAGGGAGAACGGGAAGAACCGGGCAAAAACCGTTGAATTATTGACTATTCAATGTGAATGTGATCATGGCATCATGGCTCAGACCTTCGCGGGTTAAATGCTTAGCACTTGTTGGTGTTGACAACTTTGTGCATGTGAAATTGAGGGGTTCGCTGCGACGGAAGTTGTGTCAGGGGTTCATTTGTGACTCCTCAAAAGCGCAGTTTTCAACAACGCGGGTTTAGCTCAGTTGGGAGAGCGTCAGACTGAAGTAAAACTTCGGTAACATCAATCTGAAGGTCATGTGTTCGATCCACATAAACCGCACGTTTATCTTTTGTTTTGTTTATGTTGGCTGTTTGGGGATACCTTCGACATAAATTTTTGCTTCCAGAAAATGTTCCTTTTTTTGGATTTGTGGCCTCGCACGTGCCTCGCAGTCAGCATAAACCCTAACCCGGCCCCCTTTCTCAATCCTTTTGGTTGATTAGGTAAGTCATTCATCCGTCGGCCTCAACTCGACTTGGAAGGACCGGGCCGCACTTCCGTCGTTGTTCTTGCTTGGGCTGCATTAACGACTCCACTGAATGGAAACGAGGCGAACGCTTCATGAAGCGCAACCGTAAAAAAACGGATCGGTTATTACGGGGAACCACAGGGTAAGAGGATGGATTACCACGCAATCCACGGTCACGACGTCTCGAGCTTTGATCTGCCATCAACGCGTAGGTTTTCTCGCATGGTTCCGAGCTTCAAGTTGCTGCTCCGTCCCATCGATGATCTTGATACATTGTCACCATGCAGAGCTCCATTGTTTAGTTAAACACTAGCTAACACTTCTCCCAAGATCGTCTCCCAACCGTGTCAGCGGCACAAGCCTTGCAAGACTTGGAAGGAGACAACTCCAACTTCATCTCAACTGGACTTGCAGCTCTCGATGAGTCTCTCAACCCGGGATTGGCCGGTACTGGGCATGGCGGGCTTCAAAAAGGGCATGTGACAGAGATCTGGGGCCCTCCGGGAGTAGGAAAGACGGCATTCGGGTATGCTTCATATTCCGCGGTTCATGACGTACCTCTGCTGATCTTCCTCAGACTCCAGCTCGCTTCCCACTGTCTCAGCGAAGGCCGCGGAGTTGTTTGGGTTGGTCTGTCGCACTTGCCCTCCTCCTGAAGCTTGCCTTCGTGGACAGCCGGCTTACTCTGCATCTAGATGGATTCCATCGCGTCCCCATCGAGCGTCTGCGTTCTATCGTCGACGAAAAGACCGGCGAAAACAAGTATGCAGATCGCAATGGCCTAGACTCCTTTGCCCACTTTACATGCCCAAGCCTGCCGCACTTTATCGCGCTACTATGTAGGCCTACCGCGCTCTGTATTCCGCAGGGGGCATCACTTGTAGTTGTCGATTCACTTTCCGCCCTCATCAACCATGCCTTACCGAAGCTACCTGAACCATACTCGACCAGGGACGCCCAAAGGGTAATAAAGGTACCTCTGCTGCAGTTTGCTTGGTTGGATCATTGTTTCATCAAAACTAACCTGGTTCATGAAGGACCTTCTGCTTCGGCCCGTAGGCTGCAGGTTCTTCAGTATATTGTAGGCAGCCTTCAGAAACTCGCTGCAACGCGAGACCTAGCCATTGTGGTTCTCACTCAATGCGCCACCAAAATGCAGGCTGAACGCGGTGCCGCTCTGGTCCCGGCCATTAACGCCAGCGTTTGGGAACAAGGGATGTCAACCAGAATCGTCCTGTTCCGGGACTGGCTGGGGGAAGGTTCAGAGACGCGCGGCTTGCACTTTGCGGCGATCCAGAAACTGAATGGCAAGGGCATCGGCCCCTCGATTGAGAGTGTCTGCGCCTTCGAGGTGGATCAAGTAAGTGTTGCGCCTCGGCCGCTCTTTCAATTGTTGACCAGTGTAGCGCGGTCTAGTGCCGATCCAGTACGACGACACGCAGCACTCAAGGACACTCACCTCCACCCTGGCTCCAAAGCGGAAACTTGGAGATACCGACTTCGAAGTCGCCGACAGTGATGATGAAGGCTACGGCTGGGATGACGACGAGGAACTCCCGCCCATGCCGTCACAGTGGCAGGGGAGCGAGGATCTGTTGCTCATTCGTAAACCGGGAAGTGATGACGACAACGAAGAGGAAGACCACTCGGTGGATGCCCACGAAAGCGGGAACGAAGGACCCTAAGTCGATGGCAACGACTCTGACCCCTCCGATGAGGCGAGCGAAACAGGCCATCCGACAAGCCAATGAAACAACAGTTCACTCTCATCACTTCACATTGTCTCTGTCCACTGCGACAACACCGGCTTCTCTAGTCCTCGGCGAAGCCGTCTCCATGCCATGCGCCCGTTCGAGGATATGCCAGTGTTTGCCTAAGGCCATCGGTTAATGGCTATCAATCGGCTCAGGGTATTCGGCTGCTCTTCGGATACCTAACGCAAACATGGACAAATACCCCCAGTTACACCTGTATCTGGCTTCAATACCTACCCACCTACATGGGCCCCCTGGCAACCCTGCGGATGCTCCGAGCACATGCTTCTCACTCGGATGCGGCCACGCCTCCTTCTAACGGCCCGAGGGGCTTCTCGGGAGTAATTACCCCAAGAGCCCGGAGTGAACTTCCAATCAATGTCGCCATCACTTTGTTTGCGATCGTGCTTGTCACCCAATGGAGCGCAATTCGGTATTTTAGCCTCGGCGTGGCAATTGTGATGTACCAACATGACAAGGAGAACTGTTATAGCAGGTGGGTGACACAGCAGAGCGACGTTCCAGAAGCACCCAGTTGTGCGAGGGCCGCTCCCTGATTTGACAATTGGCATTCCCGAGCTCCCGCCCACGGAGCGGATGCAATGGCAATCAATCGGAAGTTTTAGATGAGGTTGCAGAAGGATTCGTCACGACCACGGCCGCGCTCCCAGGAAAATAGCTCGTGGTTGGTAGGGGGGGAGCTGCAGCCGGTGAAGGTCTAGCCGATTCAGCCTGTCAGGGTGCCGTAACGCGATCGTCTGTATGAAGTGTGTTATCTTCTGCCGTCATTGCGACATCGATCTCGTTTCTGGAGCTCAGATCGAGGAATCATGCCGTCTGTTTAAGGTGTCGCGGGATCGCCAGCCCCCCGAACCCGACCTTGTTCACGGTTCGGCATCCTACTCGCCAACCAGTCCATGACCCTGAAAATCATGGTTCGACTCATTAATTCGAGCCCTCCCAAGACCTTTCTTTTCCGCTTCCATCCACATGCACGATAGCCCCCCCAGTCGAGTCCCTAGTCGCCCCCGCATGTCAAGGCGGCAGCGATTGAAACCTTCCAACCCCAACCGTTCGCTTACATAGATGATGCGCAGCGGATATGCACTTCTGGCTTCCCCGGCCATGCTCTAAAAAGGCTGGACCCTTTCCCCCTTCCGTCGCCCTGCAGATGCCCCGCCGTTATCGACGCCCGGCCTTGGGATCCGAGTTGGCCGTTCATTGTGCTCCGCCGTCTTGCACCTTCATAACCTCCGTATACCACGGTAGTATCGCCAAGCAGCAACACCCACCTGAAGCAAACAAACCTCACCTCCTCGCCCCCCTTTCTTCTGTAAGGTGGTATTTTGCCACCTGCCACCACCCCGTACCGTACAATTTGCCCGGTATGACCGTGGTATTGCAGCAGGGTTCGATATCTCTTATTTTGTCCAATCCCTTATGTATATTGGATTATGTTTCGTGTATACATTCTCTTCAAGAATTAATTATAATACCACCTATTTTTTTTTGGTACTGTCCCTTTCATCTTTCTTGGATGGGGACGTAATGTTAAGTTTATTTTTGTCCTCGTTTAGTTTCCTTTTTGGTGTGTTTATTATTTTATTTTTTTTTTATTTTTATTTTTTATTTTATCATCTTTTATATTATGTCTTGATAATTTTTATAGATTTTATTATTTTTTTTCTCTTATTTTTTTTTTTTTTTTTTTTTTTTTTTTTTTTTTTTTTTTTTTTTTTTTTTTTTTTTTTTTTTTTTTTTTTTTTTTTTTTTTTTTTTATTATTTTTTTTTTTTTTTTTTTTTTCTTTTTTTTTTCTGTTTTTTTTTTTTTTTTGTTTTTTTTTTTTTTTCTTTTTTTCTTTTTTTTTGTTTTTTTTTTTTTTTTATTTTTTAATAACATCCTTTCTTCTTGG